CTGTTTCGAAAGGTAATCCTGGCCTTCTGACCGGTGTGATGGGAATCTTGTCAGATCGCTTTTCTGGACTTTCAAACTGACAATCTTTGCACGTTTTACAAAAGGTTTCAACATCTTGTGCTAATCCAGGCCAATAAAAAATGAATATCGTATTCGCTCCTTTGTTTTTCTTATCCCAAGATGTGCACCGAAAAATGGAACTATGTGCTAATTCCAACACTTGTGCTCTTCTACTAAGTGGAAGCACTAACTGAAAAACATTCTGTCCTAATATTTTTTCTTGGTGATGTAAAAGATGATCAATAAATAAATAATTTCCCTTTTTTTTTTCTATTGCTAGCTTCCATGCTTCTCTCAGCGAGGGACAGTTAACTTGCTCTTCGCGTAGGCGTTCAGCAGACGATAAGTCTGTGTTTACATAAACACTCGCCTTCTTCCCCTTCCTCCTCTTCGTTTTTCTCCTCCATAAGCATTAGCGGGGGGGGGAATCGACGCTGTCGTTTGACTGTGCATTGGCGAATAAAAGTTTGCATAAGTTTTCGCTTCCGTAATTATTTCTTTCTGCGTTTGGTTTCTTCTGCCGCAGGATTAATCAACAGTTCGTATATTTCTGGAGTTATTAGGCAAGGCACATTTAGCTTATCAGTCACTGCAATTAATGTATCCACAAAATTAAATATATTGCTTCCATGATCTTTATGGTGAATAGGTACACGGCAAACTTTTGCTTCAATTGGTTGTCCGAAAGCAGGTGTTAGCAATATTTTACCTCCTTTTCTCTCCTCTAAATTTGGAATGAGCGATGAATGTACGATCGTTATCTGCGTTCCAGAGTCTACGATAGCTTCGATTTTCTCAGAGTTAATAAAAATATCTACTTTTTGCAGTGGTTGAACGATGCGTTCTGCGAATTCAGATCGTAGATGGGATGAGTCTACTTTAGCTACGATGGCTTCTTCTTTTGATGTTCTGTTTGAATTTTTTTGAGTTTTGGAATCATCCTTTCCCTTCTTATTTACTGCAGTTTCGTTCTTTCTTCTTTTGTCTGGACAATCTCTCGCGATGTGTTGATAATTTCCACAAATATAACATTCTTTTCTTCTCGCGTGAAATCTTTCGTGTTTTGGATATTCTTTTCTCATGGGTGGTGGAATATATTTGTCGTGTGCACATGTTGTATCCAGGAATCTCGGTGATCGCTTAATTCCATTTCGAACTTCGTCGAAAGATTTTCCCTTTGGCCGTGAAATAAATATCACATTCTGTTCAGTAATTCTTGAGCTTCGATTTTTCTTGGCTTCAGCCATTTATTTCCTTGGCGTATGTTTTCTTCATCTAATGCGTGTGAATAATTCTGGAATGCTTTGAATATAATTATCTCCTTTGAGTAATTAACTCCTTAGTGTTTCGAAATCCCTTCTCTTGACTTGCAGTAATAGTCCCATGTAGCTGTTAGTCTTGAAGCGAAACTGATATGCGTTTCCGCCGGAATAACGTTTAGTTTTTCTGAAGTTTTCTAAACAGGTTTGAGGAGTAGGTTGATATTCCTTCAGAACAAGAAGTTTTCACTTTTTCGTAATTTTGCAGATCTTCCTCCTTTATATAAACAAGAACATTTGAAGCTTTTTCTCCAATTAATTTCAATAATATTTCCGATTTGTATTCTTCAGGAACCTTCTTGTGCTTAAATGCTCTTTCGATAGAATCGATTCCATTTCTGCTCCTCTTTAGTCAGTGTTTCTTTTCGGTCCTGGATATGTCAGTTCTACTGTTTCTACTCCTTTCTTAAAGGTGTTGGACTTCTACTTCCTTCATTTGAGTTGCTCAAATCTTTGTTAGTTCTATTTCGTGTTCTCTTTCTGTTTTTCTTCTTCTTCTTTTGTTCCATTTGCTTTTTTTTATTCTTTCCATTTCTTCTTTTTATTCTTCTTTTCTTTGCTTTCTCCACTGTTCTCTCTTTTTCTCTTTTATCAGTAATCAGTTCACGAATCAGGCAATTCAGCTTGCTATTCTTCTTGGAGTATTTTTGTTTTAGTTTTGTTTCAGTTTCTTTCTACCAGCTTCAAATCTGGGGATGCTTCTTCGCCAATTTCCAATAGAACTGTTACTAAATCCTCTTTCTTTGCGTTTTTGAACATTTTCTTCTATTTTCCTTTAGAATCAAGCCTTTCAAACTCTCGATTAAATAATTCTCACGTTTTTACTCTCTTTTGCAAATGAACACTTCTTTCGTTAGTTAGGCTTAACTTTACGCCATTTCCGTTTTCAACGCTCTAAGCTTCTAACCTCTCTGGTTATCTCGTAAGAGAGCGTGTTGTGATGACTTCGTGGTTTAATAAGGCACCATTTAGCAAGACGAAACAAACATTTATTAAATATATAATTCAAAGCATAATATAATAGTTACTCAGAGCAGTACGTCGCTCCTACCGCATAGTACAATCTACTACCTTCCTCTTCCGAGGCTAACATGCAACTCCTAATAAATACATTAACCCTTCTCGAAGAAGAGCTACCTGCGCCAAGCATGCTCTGTTGATCGCCAAACAGTCGCCAGATATCACACTTGGCTCTTGAGTACACTATTTAATCCTGCTCGTTTGTGTGCTGTTAAAAAAACACAGCATAAATGATTGAAATTCTTCACATTCTTTCCAGCAGACGATATCCAAATCATGCGGTTCTAACTATGAGACGCGCTCAAAATGCGATAACAAAGCTGTATCGCAATTCACAATTCTTCATTTGCAAAAAACAGACACAACTTGCACTTAAAAAGTTCTTTCTCTTCCATTGGAATTATTTTCTTTTTGGGTACACCCATCCTGTCGACTCCTTGTGATGTATCAGCTTTAGTCGTAGCTTAAATAATCAGACGATAAGTTTTAAAAAACAGGATCCATTTATTATTATTCAGGAGAAATAGCAGTTACAAAAATCAGATATCCGGAGTAAATAAAAAATAATTACTAATAACTTTTTGTATGAAGTTTACTGCATCGTGACATTTAAGAAAAAGCCCCGATATTCCTTTTGCGAGTCTTTTTATAGCCTCTGGAAAGGCGGAGCTTCCAAGAAATGACGTCAGCCTCGTCAGCCAATCCAGTTCGCTTTAAATATCTCGAGAACATTCTATAAGTGCACGTGTAGAAAAGGCGGGAAAAACAACCTGACCACGGGGCTGGGGATCCAATTCCAGGTACTTTCAAATATGAGAACGTCGCCATTAAAAATGAAAAGAACATACAGTTAGAATTTTAAGTGTATTCTTGACTATGGAATTTTACCATTACAAATATATACATATATATATAGATATAGATAGATATATATGTAACTGGAAATGTAGCTTTCCCTAAACAATTGTAAAAGTAATATGATGAGCAAAAGCACTAGTTAAAAGTCTTCGTTCAAGGATAAATAATAACCAGTGGCATACCTAGGGTGGGGCAAGGAGGGACATTTGAGCCCGGGCGCAGCCTCCAGGATGCGGCAAACAGATGTTACGAAATTTTAGAGTGAAATGTTTTCCATTGCTCACAAATGCACCCAGAATGGGGAGCAAAATCTTCAGTTGTTCTAGGACTCTGATAATAACTACTAGACACGTGGGTCATTCAGTTTCAGAAACAGTTCAAGAGATAGGGGTTTTTCACTTTGCACAGTATCAACAATAACGCGAAACAACATGGATAGCGAAAACGCCAACTGCAAGGAATAAGCTGCTTTAACGTCAGGATTCAGCTTTATCAAGCGGAGCCAGCGATATCAGACCTTAGCTTAGTCGACCAACTAAAGGAACTGTACAGTCAGACAGTTAGTGCAGAGTATGCAGCAATTCTTTCATCACATATGCTTCAGAACTTCATATATGCCGTAATCTCCACCCTAAAGCATTTTCATGGCCCACAAAACATTGTATAACTATACGATCACCAAGTGGAAGCCAATAGTATGGAAAGTTTGGTTTCAATTTCAATTCACTGCATCTACAACAGTCAGAGTTAGAAATCTCGTATTTGATTATAAACGAGCGACATTCGAAACTATTTTAGGTGAAAACAGTACCACCAAATGCGACTGCCCCTTCATCCAAAAAAAAGTGGGAGATCTATTAGTTTGTCTTTATCAGTAGTGGAAAATATAGCACTCTATCTCTAGGAGAAATAAAATACTTAAAGGAATCGAAATCGTTTTGTTTACTTTTTCAAGAAATGATTCTCTATTCTTTGTACGATTCTCTATGTTTTTTTACTTCCCCTTCATCCAAAAAAAAGGGGGGGGAGATATATTAGTTTGTCTTTCTCAGTAGTGGAAAATATATCACTCTATCTCTAGGTGAAATAAAATACTTACACGAATCAAAATCATTTTGTTTATTCTTTCAAGGAATGATTCTATATTCTTTGTAGGTTGCAATGGGAACAGTAAAAGCCTTCGCAACTGGTACCTAATTAACTAGCAATACAAAAATAACGATAGTTTCAAAAATCTAGATTAAAATCCGAAATTTAACTCCATGGGATAAAAAGGTATGTAATGGGCTAATAATATGAAGTCTTAAATGCTGAAAACATTTGTGTTGTACTTCTGTCCAAGAAATAGTTCCTGAAGGAGACATATTTATTTTCTTCATTATTTTCTTCATTCATTTATTTCTTCATTCTTAGCTTCATTGTATATACAGGGAATTTTTAAAAATCTCGCGAGAAAATTATAAGTATGCAGACATTCAAAGTTATATGCCACCATACTGAAAAATTATTAATTTTCATGGGATAATGTAATTTTAAAATATTGTTTATTTTTTTGAAACATAAAATAATGTTATTAGTTTCGGTTCTAAATAACCTGAATGATTTTTAATATTATTTATTTAATTTTGGCGGATAGATCAGAAACGCTACTACTATTCGTATGCTGCAATACAGTTGGCATCACAAAACATGAGTAAATAAGTTCTCGAAATATATACGCAATTATGCAGAAAAAGTGCATACCTGGAATCGGCGTGGTGTTGTAGCTACCGGTTGGAAAGGATTCCATAGTATATTGCAAACTGTGGGCAGGATTAGCTGTCGTACGTTCTCTGTTTGCTATAGAAATATAGAAAACATTTCCTCTTTAAGATTTGTTTGACGCTAAATTTTATCATATAATTATGGGAAGTTAAGTTATCTGACGGGAATCTGCTTAGAATCGTAATCTGTGTAACTGTAAAAATATAAAACATCGACGATGAACGTGAGGTTTTCATTTTTAATGAACAAGCTTTTTCGAATTTGTAAAAGATGAATACGTTTTGTGAGGAGACATGGTAAACAGAGAATTATCCGTTCGCAGATATAGGTTATAAGTCTTTCACTGAATTCTTTCATTATTGAAACAGAATTCAAACACGCTTGCAGTTTTCCTAAGTCAGAAGACAAGGTGATTCGATACTGGTGAGACAAACGTTAAGAGATGTAGGGGACACAAAGATGATTCAGAATCGCAAAGAATTGCAGGGTAGGAAATGCATCCGTTATGCAAACAGAGGGCGTTGAACGGGAGATTGCTTGAATAGTGATCGTGCTGGCAGTCACCATTTGCGAACCGGTTCGCCAGAACGAGAATGGATGAGTATTCAGCCGATGAACTTGCCGAAATTCACCTAGCGAATGCAGCTGCTGACGGTAATGGGCACGTTGCTCTGCGCTTGTAGTAGAAAAGTTTCCAGTACAGGCCTACTCCTCATCATACGATCTTCGCATGTCTGCACAGAAGGTTGCGTGAACCTGGCTTTTCATGAGATCTATCAAGACTCGAGAGAAAAATGGCGAGGACGCCAGACAATGAGGAGAATGTCCTACATTTGGGAGAAGGCAATCCAAATACAAGTACTCAAGCGATAGCCCAACGATTATATGGAGGATATCGTCAGGAAACCAATACTTTTGTAGCGTCTGCAACGCATTCAAGCATTGCAGGCTGCTGATTATCTACTCTAGAGGAGTTTTGTTACTTGGTATCTTCAAGAGAGTGCGGAAGATGGAATATATGCTGCTTCCCTATTGTTCGCGCATGAGGCATTTTTCACAATAGAGGGAGCCTTAAATCAACATAACGCCCACTTGTGGGCTTTGGATAAACCCCATGGTATGCGAACGAAACACGTGCAGCTCAAAGCCGTTTCTCTGCCATTGTTTAGGCCTGCATTGCTGTAGACCACCTCTTTGTACCGTACCTTCTGTCTCCTCGTCTGGACGACAGGGATCTTCCTACGTGAAATCCTGCACGAACTTATTGAAGAGGCACATGTTCCTCAGTCGTTTCGTCGCTCAGTGTGGTTCCAGCGTGACGGCGTTCCATCACACTATCATAATGATATCTTCCAGAACCTGAACATAACATTTGGACAACATTGGATAGGTCGTGGTGCTCTGGTTCATTGGCTTACTAAATCGCCGGACCTATCATGCGTGGACTACTTCTGGGGTCAAATGAAGGCATTAAAGTAAGAGAACCAAGTTGATTCAGTTAAAGACCTCGTCGCTCGTATATCTGTAGCCGCTTGGGAGATACGAGATACACCAGGACTTTTCCGTAGCATTAGAAATTCCATGCGGTGCCGTTGTGAAGCCTGTGTGACTGCTTCTGGATGTCATATTGAACGCCTTATGTAGCATGTAACTTTTTCCAATGTGAAACTTTAGTAAAATGAGTTGTGTTACACAAACGTGTCGCTGTTTCTGTTCTTTATTTTTCTTTTAATCGTAGCTCAGGTAGAAGGCATTTCGAACCCTGTAATGCTACATATTTCCGAATCGTCTTTGTGCTTTCCCTACATCTCCTATAAGTTTGTCGCACCGGTAACGAATCACCTTGCATAATAATAAGGTATAAAGCTACATTTATACTGAATAGATAAATTAGAACACTATATAAAGACCACAGAAAGCATATTATTTAAATTTCTTCAAAGGAGCGAGGTATTGCAAGCTCTAAAATATATAAGCGACTTTCCAGAATTGTATCATGGATTACTCTAATAGCATATAGGACTGCGAAAATAAGCCTAAAAAACAACAAAAATATTTCAAAGATAATATGATCTCGTCTTTTCGGTTTCATCTTGCAAGAGAAAAAGCATAGCAGTCATAAGCTACGCTCTAAAAAAGGTATAAAAATTATTTGCGTGATTTGCTATCCAGGGTCATACAATTTAGAATTAGAGTGACATGTCTTGTGTCTTTTATTTGTATGAATATTTTAACTGCCCTTTTTTGATTTGTATTCTTTTTTGCTATTTTTATTTTAGGATACCAGTTGGGGAACTCTGCGAAAACGCTTCTGTATCCTAATTTTATTACAATATTTTATCCAAAAGTCCATGTAGCGCTCGCTAGTTTCTCAAAAGTGGTCAAGCAATAGTTTTCAATAAAAATTTAGAAACTTCTTTCGCACTTCTAGAAATTCTTTTTCGTACCCCTAGGCGTGGACAGGTTAGAAAAAGTCGCAAGGTTACTGTTTCATTTTGTGTCTTTCAATAAATTACTTGATATCTAGAAATGCTCGGTTGTGCATTAAATACAAATTTCCAAAAGAAGTCATAAAATATATTTTATATATTATTATTATAATTATTATGGTGCTGGCAGTGTTTTTGCTAAACTTGCAAATCATAAAATATAGTGAAAATAAATACAAAAGAATTTTGTTTTTATATTTTCACGCAGTAATTCCATATTTCTGAATTCATTTTCTTTTTGAGAATCCGGATCACTTTTATAAAGAAAAAAAAGACGAATTTACTCTTCCAATGGTCTCGCAAATATTGAGAATAACTATTTCAAAAATTCATTTCGATCGTCTACAGAAATGAGATTTACAGCGAAAAAGTATCTCGTTACAAAAAACATCAGAAATATTGTCTAAATACTTATTCGTTAATAAAAAAACGGTTTCTTAAATACAACTGCTTTTGCTAATCTGATGAAATCATAACACTCATACTGATTTGAATGAAGCCTTTATGACACATACCTTAGTGTATTTTATTTTCATGCTTCTTATTACACTGTATGTTCTGATTGACTACTTTACTTTAAATATATTTTACAGGCAAATATAAACGTAATAAATATATATTGAATGCAATATTAACCTTTTCTGCAAAAAAGAGTATATCACGTCACCTCTGCACGTCAGAAAAGTTTAACTTTCAAAACTTTCGTTACTATGCTCAATTTTTGTAAGTTGTACATTGTTATTAAAATAGTTAATTTCACAGTGTCTTGCTCTTCATTGGTACAAAGGCAATTTAAATATTTTTTAGAAGAAATAGAAAACAATTATATGGATCTCCCCTTACACAGCCATATTTATTGGCTTAGTTGAGGTTTTATTAATAAGTTTGTTTGAATCTTGAACGACGTCATGCATGGAATACATTAAAGGTTTATCAAAGAATCATCATATGGTCAAGATAATTCCAATTACAAAACTTGCACAGTAAAATTCTTTATAGTTTTCTATTTGTAAAAATAAGCATTACTGTTTAACTACGCCACTGTGGATTAAAAAGTCACTAATATACAATATTTTTAAAGTTTATTGCTTTTGTAAGCACCCAATAATTTATTCAACATTTCTTTCCATTACACACATACTATGATGAAGCAAAAATGTTTCTTACCTTTTTGATCTGGTTTAGAGAAAGACTTACCTGTCTGAATCACAGTAAAGTAGTCGATTTGTATGCTCACATCACGTTTGTCATCTATTTGATAGCCGTCACTAAAATTGCCAAAAATATGTAACGTGGCTACGTTAACATCAGTAATATGTGGCACAAACATCGCCACCAATACTCTGCGATCTAGGAGGAAAATGCTTTTTAGTATTTTAACTAAGCTTTTATTTATTATTGTATACTATAGGATTTCACTCAGGTATATTAAATTAATATCTACATCAGTTTAAAACATCAAATATTTAAACACAATCTTTTCAGGTTGAGATAGTCAACTTAGTTTAAACGCTCTGATGATTGATTATAATTAATATAATTTTTAAAAATATGTAAATAAATCAATAACAAAATTTTTCAGGTTAAATTGTTTGTAGGTTGGATGCATGCCTACATGTTCGCAAGTTGTAGCCACAACTGTTGGGTTCCCCTTAGTCCACTAAACAATTATTTTAATTTTAGTATCTTTTCTGAATTCTCTTATTTTCCCCTCGCATTTCCTCGCCAGGATGCAAATTAAGTAGGTGAGCGAGGGTATTTAAGCGGGTGAAGCGAGAATTAGAACTAATCAGGAAGGAAAATGAAAAAAAAAAAAAATCTTTCAGCCTAATAACATATTCAGTTTCAGTATCCACATTGGACAATATCAGCGAAAGAAAATACCCAAACAATGTTTTAGATGTCAACATTACGATCATACTCGACATAATTGTTTAATGTTGAAAAATATGTGAATGCTAATAGCACAGATGTAACATTTGTGCAGTAATTAAAGATCAACTAAAATGTCTTTTCGGCGGTGAAAATCATGTAAGATCCTATCTTGGTTGTGAAGTCTACCGCAAATATTTCACCAAACCTGTCAATCCTTAAGTCAAGATACTTCCAAAGTAAGGCATATTTGAATTTCGTGATTTAAACCTCAATAAAAAAGAAACAATTTGTAAGTTATCATGAATCTTGTAGAAATCGATGAATAGAGACGCAGATGAGCGGTATTATTCTGATACTCCACGCCTGGATCCGAAGATCGCAAGTTCTATCCTCACCCGTGCAGTTTCTACTTATCCTGAGTATTTTGATTTAACTTGAAGGTTATTTTATCTTTCTCACTCCTATACATTCACGAGTAATTATTTTTACTCTGAATTTCAACTCTTCCACTTAATTAAGCCCTAAGGGATGTATGATAACTAGAGACGTGGCTTTTTAGTAGTGCCGTTACCTCATTAAAGTGTACGACCTGACCTGAGATTAGACAGAGCGTGATTTCACTAGTGTAATGCACGCTTGCTAATTTTTCATCCAGTTGTTAATCTTAGTAACTGCTACACATTCTGGCCGTCTAGTTAGTATATCGCCGATGTAAGTTTCTGAGTGTTCAGACGGTATAGTGGTTAAGGGAGTCTGACTGCGATACCAAAGAGCCCGGATCGAATCTCTGGGAAGACATAGTTGAAAGTGTCTGTTCCTTCATAGGATGGTAGCGGTGCCTCCACTTCTGGCCTTAGAAGGCCAGAAGTGGAGGCACTAGTAGTTGCCAATGCCGGTACAGGCAAGTGCCCGCCATTGGAAAAAAAAAGATTTTGAGTCAACCTGTTAGATTAAATTGAATTGTTTAGTCAAACACTGCATCGCTACCTTTAAATTTATTGTTAAATTATCGTTTAAGCTCTCACCGCAAGAAGCCGCTGCTATTAACCGTACGCAAATCGTTGCATTTCTGTTAAAGATTTGCGATTAATAAAAAGGCTTCTCAGACACTCTGTTGTGTTCATCTTCACGCCTATGCGAGAAGTCTTCCTTTTAGCTATCATTGCATGATAGCTAAAAAGGTTAGATAAGAGTATATAACATTCACCAATCTTATATGAGTATATAACATTCAAGAATCTCAGACCTATCAAAATCGTTTGAATGATTTTAGACAGCCCATCTGCACCTTGCAACGCCTTTATCTAAAGGCGTTGCAAGGTTTCTTACTCCTTTGAGAGTATCTACTCTCAAAGGAGTAAGAAACTGCTTCATTGGAAAAATAGCTATTATTGCCATTTTTTAAGCTCGATCACTTAATATAGTGAACATTGCTACAGCTTTTACAAAAAGGATAATTAATAGAATTTAAAATGAAATCATATTTTTAAAATATTTCATTAATATTTTTTGTACTTACTAGGAATAACATCCACGTTGCTTTGAGACAAGACAACTGAATCATTCTTTCGCAGTAAATTGACTGTGACTTTTCCACCAGACGGTATACCAGATACTAACAGTGTAAAATATGCAGTGTTTCTAGCATAAATAACCTCGGGAGACGTGAAAATGAAGCTGCTAATAAACAGTAAAATTGAAAATTAACAAGAATAATTGATTAAACTTTAGATTCGTGAAATATTTTTAATAGTTTATAAATTCACCAAAGCGACAATCAAATAGAAATGAGTATTTTCAGATATACACCAAAACATTTGTAAAAAGAAATGCAGATATTTCCTCATTATAAATGCGTATATAGAAACTTTTTATTTGCATTGGGAATGTGATTCGTCCGAATATTCGGAATGCTTTAAATCATTTGTTATTAAGATGTATAACTTTTATCAATTGGTGTATGATTAATGAATTTATGTAACAAAAAATTATAAGTATAAATCTTTCATTTTAAAGAACGAATGACTCAAAAAAATTAAAAATTTATTTGCATTAGAAAGAATTATTAGAAAATTATTTAGAAAATTATTATTAGAAAATTATTTGCATGAAAAAAATAACACAACGTAAATTTAAAATTAATTCGCCGTAACTCCGCAAAAAAAAAAAAAAAAAAAAAAAAAAAAAAAAGTGTTTATCTAAACTTTCGTTGATTTAGATAACTCATCTTCAGGAGAGCATTGTGTTTTCACAGTACTCCTTGCGCGCTAATTTTCAATATTTTTTCCTTTAAGTTAGTTATAAAGACTTGACAAAAGTTTTTGTGCATTGGTTATTGAATATGATGGATCAGAAATTTTTAAGAAGGATTTTTGTGAACGTAAACCCAGTTTTCGGAAAAAAAGTCCCCTTTTATTAAATATTATCACAACTTTAAACACCTTAATAATCTCATATCCAAAAATGCATACACAGAATCTACTGTAACGTATAACAAAATAGGTTTTTCCAAACATCATTCATTTTTAACCGAAAATGAGACGCATGGAGCATTTTCAAGACATAAGAACTGCGAAAAAATTTGTTTTGAGAAAACCGAATTTAAAGTTTTCAACAACTTCCATTTTAGCAGAGAAATGCGACAAGTATGAGGCTTTGCGAAGAGATACGAGGAAGTTAGAACAGAGAGCGGGGTTAAAGAAACCATTTGAGAAAGATAGAGAGCGGTATGTAAATTCTAACTGTAGTTATAATCAGAAAAGTAGTGGTCGTCAAAGAATTAAATCAGAGGAGCATAGAAAAGTGGAAACTCCTAAAAAAAAGCAAGTTTTCAATGAAGCAGGTTTCGAGAAACAGCGGAAAATAAGGTGTTACCAATGTGGAAAGGACGGACATATCCGACCTAACTGTCCATCGCTGGAAAAGAATAAGGCTAATCTGGTGAATAATCTAGGAACGGAGAGTTTAGGAAAATGTTTTGAGCCGTATTTCAAGAAAGCAGTAATTAATGGGATAGAGAGAGAATATCTGAGAGATACTGGAGCTGGTATAGATCTGTGTAATAGTACTTGGATTAATACTAGTGACTTATTAGGGGAAACTGTATGGGTGAAACAGCCTTTGGACACAGAATGTAAATGTTTACTTTGGCGAAAGTCACCATTGAAGGTGATTTTGGTGTGGTCACCACAAAGGCAGCGGTTACTCCGGTAGAGTTAGATAAAGAGTACTTTTTGTTAGAGAATAAAACTGCACAGTTGATTGAGGAAATTAGGGAACGACCGGTTCTCTTGAATGCTGTGGAGACTCGTAGTCAGACGCATGCGCGCAGGAGTTTAGAGAGAGCGAGTGCAAAAGACTTAGATTCCAGATCGGAAGAAAAGAAAGAGACAGAAAGTGAAAGGCCCGTCAAAAATGAGCATTCGGAAGAAAGGAAGTTGACCAGTAATACGGAGGAGAACATTAAAATTCTAGACATCAGTTTAGAGGAAAGGTCTATCCTTGCGGATGTTTCGCCAGCAGAATTCTTGGAAGCACAAAAACTTGCGCTAGTTTAGCCACCCTGTGGAAGAAAGGGGAAAGTGAAAATGAAAAAGAGTTTATAATAGTCAAGAAAAGACTATTCAGAGTGGCAAGTTCTAAAAAAGGGGAAGATAAGCGTCAGTTGTGTGTGCCTCTCGTTTTTAGGAAAGGGATCTTGAAGTTATGCTACGAGGAAATCTCTGATCATTTAGGGATAACAAAAACCAAGGATAGAGTTTTGACACACTATTTCTGGCCTAATTGCTACCAAAGAATTTGTGAGAACGTGCGATATTTGTCAGAGTGTAGGTCACAATAAGGATAAAAAGAAAACCCTTCTGTTATATCAGAAGTGTTTAGCAGATTAAATATTGATGCAGTAGGACCTCTGATCCCTAGTTCGCGTGAAAATAAATACTTAATTACGTCTATTTGTGTTGCTTCCAAATATCCAGATGCCATTCCTGTACAGAATTTAAACTCTAAATGTGTGATTCAAGCCTTGATACAAATCTTTTCTAGATCAGGTTACCCTAAGGAAATTCAGTGTGATTTGGATAGATCGTTTACCAGTGAACTTACATCTGAGTTTTTTTAGCAAGTTCGGAATTAAGGTGTATCATTCTTCTGTATGTCACCCTCAAAGCAATTCTGTTGAAAGGTTGCATTCCACCTTGAAAAGGGTATTGAAGTCTTTGTGCTTGGAAAGCGGGAAGGACTGGGAAGAATGTTTGCCATGTGCTTTGTTCGCCCTCAGAACTGTTAGCCATGAGAGCACAGGTTTTAGTCCCTGCGAGTTAGTACATGGAAAAAATTTGAGAATGCCTCAAACGATTGTGTATGAAAACTGGCTAAAGGAAGAAAGTTCAGACCCCACTGTGGTCGAGTAGGTTCTAGACTTAATAAACAGATTAAAGAAGTGTCAGGAGCTGGCTGTAGAGAGGATGAGAGAGTGTCAAAGTAAAAGGAAACTCTGGTATGATCGCAACGCTGTTACGAGAAGGTTTACGGTCGGAGATCTCGTGCTTGTTTTAGCCACGTCTAAACCACACAAAATGGCTCTGAACTGGATAGAGCCAGGTAAAGTAACTAGTGTGATTTCCGAAACTAATTATACGGTAGAGATTCCGGGTAAGCGTAGCAGTGACACCATTTATCACATAAATTTGATAAAACCTTCTTATCAGCGCCCCGAGTTTGTGAATCTTGTGATGGAGGAGGTCATGGAAGATATTGAGGGAGAAGTGGATATTCCTTATCCCTTGGCTGATCCAACTCAGGTAGATTTTTGGAAAATAGTTGGAGATAGTAAGCTAGAAGAAAGAGCTTCGGCAGAGGAAATAGGAAAATTCCAAGAAGTTATAAGGAAGTATGGAGCTGTGTTTTCATACGACCTCGGCTGTACGTTTTTGGTCGAAATGGATATTAAATTGTTAGATGAGACTCCGGTTAGAGTCAGGCCTTACCGAATGTCGGCGAGACAAACCGACATCCTAAAAGAGGAAATTAGGCGGTTGCTTGAGTTAGGAGTCATAGAAGTCGGGCAATCTTATTATGCTTCGCCTATGATCTTAGTAGAGGTCCCAGGTAAAGATCCTCGTCCTTGTATAGACTACAGAAAATTAAACTCAAAAACTATGACCGAATTTTCACTCTTCCCAATATTGAAGAAGTGGTAGAAAAAGTCAGCACAGCTCCATTTATCACAATCATGGATCTAACCAAAGGATACTTCCAGATACCACTCACAGAGCGTGCACGGAGGTATGCCGCATTTGTGACGCCTTTTGGATCTTTCATCCCGAAGAAAATGATGTTTGGGCTTATAAATGCGCCTTTCTATTTTTGTAAATTGATCGCTCAAGTTTTAGGATGGCTGGACAATTTTGTTCTACCGTATATTGATGACATCGCAGTCTTTTCGCCGACTTGGGGCAGGCATTATGAAGGATTTGAATATGGTTTTAAGTCGCCTTCAGGAGGCTAAATTGACTGTTAAGCCCTCAAAATGCAAATTCGCACAAGACCATGTGAAATTTCTGGGTCATGAAGTAGGGTCTGGATAAAGGTCGCCTAGTGAGGCCAGATTCAAGCAATCAGAGATTTTCCGATCCCCACTACTAAAACACAGATACGTAGCTACCTTGGTACTGTGGGATACTATGCAAGGTACATAAAAGACTACGCCAGTATTGCGGCACCTTTGACAGACGCTTTGAAGGGCAAAAACAAAAAAAAGAAAAAGTGATTTGGACTAAAGAGTGCGACGAGGCTTTCAATAAACTGAAGACCAAACTAGTAAAATGTCCGGTTTTATTTGCACCAGATTATTCTAAAGAATTTATTGTGCAGACAGATGCCAGCTTATATGGTGCAGGTATTGTGTTGTCTCAAATTCAGGATGGGGAGGAACACCCTATACTGTATCTTAGCAAAAGGTTTACTAAAGCGGAGCGAAATTATAGCACCATTGAAAGAGAACTAGCGGCCATTATTTATGGACTGAAGAAACTAAGTCATTACTTAGACGGACCAAAATTCAAGATCCAGACGGATCATAATCCGTTGACATTTTTAAACAAAATGATGGGATCAAATTCTCGTTTGACTGAATGAAAATGATTTTTGTAGAGTTTTGGAATTATATTTGCGTATATTCAAAATTGTTTGCATTGTGTGTTTCATTTTCAAAAAAATTGTTAGAATTAAATGTTTTATCTTAAGCATTAGCATTGTGTAAGATTTGAGGAATATGCTTTGTATAAGGCAGACATTTGGAGTAGTTTAAATTATTTTTGTTGTATTTATGCGGTTATGTTATCTAGAAATAAGTGCAGGGTAATGTAACTGGCTTCTCTATTATCACTTAAATGGTTACCACTTCTGTTTTGAAAGCAGTGAAATGTATTTAGAATTTTTCCTTCCATAGTCAAGAAAAATTTCTTTATGAGGGGAGGAGTCGTGATAAGGTTACATAAAAGAAGAAGAGAACTGAAGATTTATATGGACAAGGATTTCTCGTGAGCATAAGCTGAAAATTATTATTTTTTTAACTTACAAATACGTTTTCTATAGTTATTAAAATAGTCTTTATTAAAATAATTAAATCGTTGGCAATGTTAAAAACGCAAGCTCGAGAGCCACGAATTGCTCTCGCACGTAAAATGAATTTGATTTTTGAAATAGATAGGTTTTTCTCTGCAGAATTGTATGTAGCCATTTTTTTAGCATTCAATAAATTTTATTATGCTGCGTTTTGTTTTCAACCTGATGGCACAACCCAGGGTTACCATAGCGGTTTCGGCCACTACACCACAAGGCAAAGTTTACGCTGTTTACACATTTTAAATACTTGTAACTTCTTTAAAAATTAGAATAAATGAACTCGGTTTTTTGCATATGATGTAGTTACGTATGTGGAATATTATGAGAGGGAAAAAAAATTCAGTAATTTGGTTTTCGTTCCTTTAAGAGACACAAACAGTAATTCAATATATTCAATTCAATACAAAACCTTCAATTCCGACGATATAAATATCCGAAATTGTAAAAACTATAAACGTTAACACTGAATACCATAACCAATTTTTGTTCCTGATAATCGTTAAAGAATCTGACATTAACAACTTTACTCATATTATTAAAGTACATTTTTAATCATACAAGTTCAATTTTCTCTATAGTAATAAATAAGGAAAAGTTGTTTTCTAAGAGATGAAAGCAAGTAAACAGAAAGGATTTATTCAAAACTCTGAAATATTATTCCAAAGGCGCAATTACGACGGCAAAGGCCGATTAATTTCGTTTGCGCAATTTGCGTCGATTCACTACAAGCGTTGTTTCACTTTTTTATATTGTTGCCACCGAATGTTATCGCCCTGTATTATATTTAAAGAAATTAAATAATGAACATCTGCTTTAATATATGTATGTTTCTAGCATTGAGATAAAACAACGGTACCTAGAACATCCAATTTTGAATGACGTAATCCTCCTGCGAATACGGGCATGGAAGCCCAACTTTGAAATTTGGAATTTGTTTTATTATCGATTTCATAATTTGTGAAACTTTAACGAATTTTTGATTAACAAGCTCAAGGATTTCAAAGCGAGCCATGGCAACGTTGTGAAGAAAAAACATTTTTATCTCCAGTGCGCGTGACTGTGTATCGAAAATTCTAAAGATAGGCTCATTTTAGAATTATTTTGCGATATTGCTGTTGAACTGAATTTTATGGCTTAAATTCGAAGAACATGATATTTAATAAATAAAGGTAACACACAAAACATTAAAAGAACTCCCCTTTGGACGTAATTTAAAATCTGAAACCTTTCTGATTTTTTTAATACACATTGTATACGAACGTCTCAAAATTTGGAATTATATCCATTAAAAACTAATGAATTCAGACAGTCATGAATGTTTGATAACATTGGTTTTCATCCTTAGGTAAGAAAATGTTATTATAGGATTATGACTTACTTTTCAGCATTTCCAAATTTCAGGACACAGAGGATACTACAAATTACTAAGACACCGCACACTTTCATTGTATCGACAGTAAACTAAATCCAGAAAATAAAGCACTAAAAATAATTACTGGTTTATAAATCCTTTCTGTTTTACCATTTGTCCTATTTTCTGTAAATCCTTTAAGAATACGAATTTAATTGGCGAATAACAGAGTTTTTGAAGCTTTTAACAAGGAGGGCAGAGAGGATAAAATTGAAACATAAACAATTGTGGCTACGTGAAAGCTGGTGTTCATGTGTTATCCCGAGATAATCATGAGCAATATCAACATTTTTGACACATTATGGTATCAGCTTTTCAAAATCAAGGATTGACGATATGCTGTGATGGTGAAAACCATAATAGTTTTGACCCTGAAATCGTATAATGACATGTATGTGTTCTGAAAAATTCTTCTTATAATCTAAAAAATCTGTATAAGAGTTCTGAAAAATCTTTCAGTATGGGCTATGATTTGATGTATGATTTATGAAGAGTCTTTCGGTATGTGTTATGAGTTCACAAATGGGTTGTCAAGCACTCATTTCAGTCATCAATATTACCATTTGATAGTGTTAAACAATATATTGTTTAACTCTACCGAATTTTGCATGCTACTAGTTTTTAGTGACATTATCGCTTTGCGGGTGATGGGCCCATTATTTCATATAAAAGTATTATTCTCTTCAGAAAAATTAAATTCACTAAGCTTAAGTAAAAGTTTCAGTAATATTTCTATTCTTAGAGCATATTCTAGAATTTCTGTTGGACAGCGGTCACCATTTACGTTTTCAAGGTGAATTTATGGATAGATAGAGTTAATAATACATAAAAAAGAGGATAAAACATAAAAAAGAGATCGGTCGCATTTCACTTTGTGCTTGTATCTGTGTTGGACGGAATTTCTGTTTCATTAAAAATGAAAAAACTTTCACATAGAATTTTATTGAAAACTAAAACATTTTCATTGTGATCGCATAGCAACGGGCACATGTTAAACGATCGGCGGGCGTCATGGTGCCCGCGGGCATAGGGTTGGGAAACCCTGCGTTATAGTGTACATATAACTTCATGCAATTCAATTCTTAAGCTTTTAAAATTTTTTCCTATAAATTTTAATTTTATTTTACGTCTGATTATCTTCTTTTAAGAAATCATGTTTATTTTGACCAGTTTCGCCTATTTTATTATCGTATATTTTTTTCATTTACCATTACTTATCGTTTCCTAAACTGTGAAACAAAGAAAGTAAAATTATATATTCAAGATACTAGTTTATTCTTAAACTCTTCCATTTTGTGATTCTTGAACAAACTCTAAATTAAAGTAAACATTCCAATTACTTAAATAATTATAAAAATCATACATTTATTTGAATGGGAAAAGGAAGGATAATATTTTAGATAAGGTATAATCTTAGGGAATACTTGAGGAAAGCATAACTTAAAGCTCAAAAATAAAAATAAATTATGCTTGGGTCTTTAGAATCTTTCCAGAATAAAAAGGCCTTCTTTTAGTTTCAGCAAGTCTTCTATTCCATCTTATATTTTCTCCTTTTGTTTTTTTAATTAATGACATGGTCGGAAAACTAAGTCTAAAATAGACATCCAAACAGTATATTGAAAGACGAGTGGAAAACTGCAACACGGGGTATTTATGATTCCTACTAGTCCCCTCATCTTTTACTTATTTATTGGAAGTTGCAGTATGATATATTTTTAAATACATATAATTAATTTAAATATTTAATTATAGATGTGTTATTTTCAGTGCTGTTGTTTTGGTAAACATGTTCTGTTTGTCATTCTTAAGCTTTTTAATTATCCCTATCAATCTAATGGATGTTTAACCTAGGTAAGTGCTTGGTTTCTTACGATCTTATGTCAGATCAGAATTATAATCATTGCATCGAAGAACTGTCAAAAATTTGAAAGATGTGTGATGATTAACATCCAAATAATTTGTGAATTTATGATCGCAAAAAAATATATAGAAAACATCCAATATATTTGTGGATTTATGATCAACTTCCAAAATATTTGCAGGCAAAATTATACAGTAGGAGAAACATCCTTATCTAAACATCAAAACTTGACTTCGGAGTCTTTGCTTTCAAATGTCGATAAATCAGTCATAAATGTCGATAGCTTTCAGATATTTTGAGATGTAAAATTGCCTGCCATTTCTCTTTCTTTTATCCAAATTAGTAATAGATTTTCAATTTTGTCAAGAAGAAGCTCTCTGGCATTTAACTTTGACCTAGCAACTTCAGTTACCATAAGTTCTTCTTTCTTAGCTAAAATAGCTCATACCGTAAAATGGTTGGTTTTATATATCCCAGTCTCGCGCGCTGGAGATAAAAGGCTTTTTTTCGTAGTGTTGCTTTGAAATTACTGAGTTTTTTAATCAAAAATTTTTTAAAGTTTAACAAAATATGAAATAGGTAATAAAACAAATTCCGAATTCCAAATTTGGGGTTCCAGATGCCCATATTCGAGTGCAGGACTACGTTATTCAAAATTTGATGTCTCTAGGTAACATTATTTCTTCACAATGCGAGAAACATACATACATTCATGCAGATTCTTCATTATTTAATTTCTCTAAATATAATGCAGGACTCTGATATTTGGTGGCAACAATTTGAAAAGAGCAATAAGGCATTTAGGGGTTCAAATATATCTATATATATATATATAAGGAAGAATCTGTCTGTCTGTGTGAGTGTGCCATTCGTTCGTGCTTCGCATGAGCTAATAGACCCAGGCCTAAGAAATTTGGTACATAGGGTGTATCTAGACAAGAGCCAGTGCACCTCGAAGCGATTTTTTCAAAATTCGAATTTTTTTGAAGAAATCCGTAGTTCGATTCCCGGCGAAAGCATTGCTTATTTTCATCTCTCCGGCTCGAAATGACCTAATGTCTGTACAAACTCATTAAAGTGCTGTTTTGTAAACTTTCTTAAAATTTTCAAATTTCTGCAGGCATTTTCACAATGACTAGATTTGAGATACAATAATTTGCCTTCATAAAGCTGTAATAAGCTTTATCTAAAAGCTTTTGATACATTTTTTACGTCATACTTTGCAGTTAAATATCCACCGCAAAAGTAGGTTCGAATCCGTCATCAAGAAGAATGTTTATGGCAACCGTACCCATCACTACCGCAGTAAACATTCTCGTAGTTGTTTACATTTCTCGTTTCTATCACCGCTTCGTTAGTTTATTTTGTATCAAAGTTTCGAATATGACGAAATACCAAGGACGACCGAAGAAACGTCCAAATATGACCGAAACGTCTAAAGACGAAAAAACTCGCCGATCGCTAATCTCAAATATTAAAATCGAGAGTAAATAACATGAATTTGAAAGGATATAAATTATCCCTTAAATTAAAGAGATGAGAAAAACAGGTAGCTCCCAGTTTTACGAATTAACCAGACTCTGTGCAAAAAAAAAATTATTTGTTTATTGCCAAACAGAGAAAAATTATTATCACAAACTCCCAAAATTAAGCAAATATTCTGTGGTAAATGCTAAACGCAGAAAAAAAATGCGTGGGATATAAGCAGTGAAAATAGATGATGTTGCAATATTTAGAATATGATTTTATCGCCCTTTTGAAGTATGTGAAGAAAATGTAATCAGACTGAATAATGAATCAAAGTAATAATAGTAAATAGAGAGCGTCTTTCTATGCACCGTGATTCACGAACCAGATTCCAGGTTCCGCTAGTCGCCGCAATTGACATGCTAAATGAATGTTATATTCCGATTGTCTTGATGTGTTTGCCCCAGTGGGTGCTTGAAGTAGAGTGATTACTTGGTCAATGAGTCCACGAACACAGGTAGGATGGATACAGCGTGAGTAATTGATACTTAAAACAGTCTTATAACAGTCCTAATCGCTATGCAGATTAACTTGGATAACAATCCTGATAAGAACATATCAAATCATAGTTCATGATCGGGTGTATCACGAGATTTGGATTGAATTCATCCAAAAGTGCTGTAAACAAAATACATTGCAGTGAAATAAATAATAGATAATAGATATAAGATTATATATAATTAGTTGCAGAAGGCAATCCATGAATCTACAGGGTGGTATCATTACAGCGATGACAAACTTTCAGAAGAGACAGACGATGGGAGATCACATAACGATGCAATGTCTGAAACGCTTTCCTGGCACGGAAGTGACGACACAAAACGCAAAAAGGAAGGACATAAACAGTGAGACAAAGCATGTTTTAGAATGTTTAGTATAGCAGAAAACTACAAATAAGAACAAAAATAAACAACGATTGTCGTTAAAAAAGGTGTTCTAAATTACGATCCCGGACCGTGATGCAGGTCTTACTTCTATGGTGCATGGAAGATCTGCATAACGCATGGAAGATGCGTGGCGCACGGTTCCTGAATCGCCGTCCGGGTCGTAATTTCGAACACCTTCCTTGATGATGATCGTTGTCTCTTTATATTGTTTTTGTTGTACTCTGAATAATAAACATGTTTCTCACCCTGTTCGTGTCCATTCTTTCATGACTTTTGTATCGTCAGTACAGCGCCAGGAAAGCGTTTCGGACCATGCATTGCTATGTGATTTCCCATCGTGTAATCTCTCTACTCTATCTCTCTTGAACGTTTGAGATCGCTGTTCTGATACACCCTGTATATATAAATCATACGTTCAGGAGCTACATAGCACAGCGAAAAGAGGTTGGGGTCACATGGGTGGTCACCCACCCCAGTAACTGTATCTGAAGAATGCTGCTGGAATCTGCAGGAATTAAACTATAAAAATAAAATACATGTGTATAATCCCGGCTTTCACTGAGAATGAAGGCTTCATAGGGGTGAAGAGATCTATCTTCGTTGAGTACTTCATAGTGAAAAGTTGGAAAAAAGTTCATTTAGTAACTAAATGAACTTTTTGGAACAATATGGAGGACTCTCGAAGAATTTTTTCTTAGCATTCCTGAGAAAGTTATCCAGTGTATCCAATTTGAAGTCAGAATGTAGATGTACACGATTTTGTTTCAAACAAAATCGTGTACATTAGTTCTGATCCTTAAAATAAGTCTGTTTTTCACAACTTGAAGCTTGTGTATATTCGAAGGAGTAACAGTAGTCCAAGCCGG